CCTTTCTGACCTCATTTCCTCCCACCCTTTTCTTGCTCACTCTGTTCCAGCCACCCTGGCCTCCTTGCTAGCCCATACATACTCCAGGCACATCCCACCCCAGGCCCTTTGCACTTGCTGTTTTCTTTGCCTGGAATGCTCCTTCCCCAGATATCCACATGCCCACCCCCAACTCTCCTTCAGGTCTTTACTCACATGTCACATTTCCAGTAAAGTCTTTCCATTCAGCTTATTGAAAATTGCAGTGCCTTTCTCTTCCAGAATTCTCTGTTTTCCTTCTCTGCCTCATTTTTCTTCATCACATGTATTATCATCTAGTGTAGTGTGTGGTTTACTTATCTTGTTTAGTGTCCATTTTCTCCCATAGAGTACAAGCTCCCCAGGATAGGGAAAATTGTTGTCTCTTTTGTTACTCAATGTCTAGAACAGTGCCTGGCACATAGCAGACGCTTAATGAATATTTTTTGAATGACCATGTGCTCCCTGAGAAGGCTGCAGCTCCATTTCCATGTAGTTCTAAGATGATTGCATAAGAGGAAGAGTAGTGAAGAGGGGGTGGGGTGGCAGTGGCCACAACTTCCAGGAGAGCAAGTTGAGTGTTCAATTACATCTGGTCAACAGAGGGTGTGGCTCTGTCCCCAAGCCGCTATGGCCACTTTTCAGCCCTGGCCAGGAGCTCGCTAAGCTTTTGGTTCACGTTCACCTGTAGCGAGAGCAGCTGAGAAACGCGAAAGCCTGGGTTCTCTTCCTAGTTTGTCCGTGGAACCAGGGGCACCCATAAGTCCCCCTCTCTTAAGGTCTGAGCCTCCATCCAGTTCAGCTGAGAATGGGGTGAGGGCCAAGAGGGAGACTCCCCTCAACGCTGGGGCTGGAACTGGGGATAGGGGTGAGGATGAGGCAGGAACACCGCGGGGCTCGGCACAGCCAGAGCCAACGAAGGAGGAGAGAGAAGGCCATAGAGATGGAAGGACTGAAATAGAGCTGGGCAGTGAAAAAGAGGCAAAAAAGAGAAAAATAGAGACAAACAGAAAGGCCGAAGGTGAGAAGCAGAGGCACATAGAAACAGAGCTGGACAGAGAAAGAGTGTGTGCAATAATGGGGAGAAAACGGGTCCCCCCAACATCTATTCCGCCTAGCGTCTATTTCACTCTTCCCCAGCACCTTCCTGTGACTGCAGAGACTGGCAAGCCAAAAACTACACTTCCCAGGATGCCTTGCGGTGGGGTTCCGGAAGGAGGTTTAGGTTCCACCAATCAGATGCCTTCGCGGGAAGCTTGAATTTCTAACTCAAGTCAGCAGGGAGGGAGGTAGCCGCGAAGCCGCCGCCCTGCCTCGCTTTCTCAAAGCTGGTGCGATTGCGGAGCCAGCAGCCGGCTCCCTGATCGCGCAGGAGGAGCGGCAGTTCCCGGGCGGATATTTCTGGAGGGTGGATTTGGGGGTGCCTTGAAGGCTCAGCCTAGAATATTTCTTCAGACAGGCTCTGTGTCCCTTCATAAGTCCTTTTCTATTTACACTGGCCAGAGTGGATTCTCTTCGCTGCCACCGAGCAATACTGGGTACACAGACAGGGAGAAAGAGATGCAGAGGCCGGCAGAAACAGAAAGTGAGTCGGAGAGATCCCAGTCCCAGCGGGGAAGAGGAGAAAGACAGAGTCCTGCAGGGATACAATGAGATGAATTTTTTTTTTTTTTTTTAAGGAGGAGGGGGAGGAGCGATGGAAGGAGGAAGATGGGGTGACAGAGACACCCAGAGAAATACTGGAGGTAAACTGAGGCAGAGAGGAGCAGAGGCAAGGGCGAGGGGGCCAGAAACAGTGTCCCAGAGCTCTCCCCAGAATGCTGGCTTGGGAGTGTTGGTGGAGAGGACCCTTTAGAGACTAAACTTTTCCAGAAGGCAGAGCTGGAAGCTGGAGACTGGAGGGGACCCTGGGGAGGTCCCTGACTTGCCAGACTCACCAAGGCCTGGCCTGCTGACAGAACATTTTTTTCAGTAGAACGTCTCTTTTTTCCCCATGCTTATTCCCAGCCGCAAGCTTCAACAGCCCTGACTGAGGAAAGTGTGGTGTCCCTGAATGGACTCTCCACCTGCCTGCCACTCGCCGCTCAGGCCTTGCCCCGAAAGACCAGCCCACTTGACCTGGGCAGGAGTGCCAGTGGTGGCCCAACCATCTTTGAGGACTGAGGCTGATTCCTGAGGGTAGAGGAAGACTGAGCGACTAAAAGGAGTGGAGGGAACAGAAAGAGGGTCTGCAAGAGAGGGAGGCTGAGTGGAAAAGAGGGGGCCTGAGGGGCAGAGAGCTGGGGAGACTGAGGCAGAGAGAGGCGGACCCAGGGGCAGAGAGAGGGGGACCCAGGGGAGGGACAGGGGCAGTGAGCCAGGGAGGCCAGATTTAGGATTCCAGATAGTGGACTCGGATGACCTGGCTTCTCTGACTAGTTGTCCTGGCTTCACTGTTGTCCCTCAGATCTCTTTCTTCTCTTTCTTCTCAGGTTGCCACATAAAATACAGAATGCCCTGTTACGGTTGGATTTTAGAGAAGCAACAGCTAATGTTTAGTGTAAGTATGGTGCCAATATTACATGGGATGTATTTACACTTAAGAAAATTATTATTTTTTTAAAATCTGAAATTCAGATCTCACTGAACATACTGTATTTTTATTTACTACACCTGGCCACTCTATCCCCATGTCTGTCTTGTTTCTGCCTCTTTTTCATCTCCTCTTTGTGCTTGTCTTTCCCTCTGCCCCAGTCCACCTCTACCTTCTCTGTTCTGTCCAAATGACCTTGTTCTGATGTTCGATGGCCTCTCAGAACCATTCCTGAGACACCCCCCGCCTCCTGCCTAGACCCCCTCTTCCCTCCGTCCTCCCATCCCAGCCCTGTCTCTAGGGCCATCTCCCTCTTTCAGGCAACTCCTCCTTCTTCTTTCTTCATCTCTCTTCTCATCGAGGCTCCCCACCCCCAAACCACCACCCCACCCCACCCCCACCACCAGAGAAGTTTTGGAGGCTTTGAGGGAGTTAGGAATCCCCCATTACTCACCTGCATCCCGGCCTCACCTCCTTTCCTTTCCACCTCCTGGGTCAGAGAGGTCAGAGAGTTTCCCAACGTCACACAGCAGAATAGAGACCAAACTCCACCCTTTCCCCCAAATCCCTTTTAAGTTCCCAGCTTCCTGGTGGAAAATTCCTCTACTTTGCCAGAAAATGGCCTGGCTTGGCAATATTTCTGAACCCCAGGCAAAACTTGAGCGCCTGCAGGCCAGGACCAGAAGTGCCTGTGGTGCAACGAATGGTAGACTTTTGAGCATCTACTATGTGCTAAGAGTTGGGGATATGGCTCTCGGGTTTTGGCAACATGAGAATGATGACTTGTCGTGGCTGTTGCCATGTCCCTAGGCCTGAGAACATAGGAGGTGCTCAATAAATGTCTGTTGAACAAATGAATGAATGAATAAATGAATGAGTGAATGAACGAAAAAACACACCCCAAGCAGTTGAAGACCCTTCTCCATGTCTGCTACTCTCATCATTCCCATCACTGTCTCTTTCTCACTTTGTCCCTGGTCTGTTTCCTTCCTCCCCTCCCCCATCGCTTGGTTTCTGTCCTTCCCTAGAGTAATTTTCTTGTTAGTTTTCAGTCAGAGGGGTCTCTACAGTGACCATCACGTGCTGAGCATCTCTTCTGTGTCAGGCACTGATGGGGTGAGGCGCTCGTGGAATCCTTCTGGAATATTCCAGAAGGTAAGTACAGTTTTGTGGGGTCTTTTTCGTATGTGGAGACTGAGACCCAGAGAGAGGAAACAAGGTGCCCTGGTCACACCAGAACCAGCACGTGTGGCCTCACCTGTCTCCTCCATCTCACATGCCATTCTCCCTCCTCCTTGGCACATAGTCACCTGCCCTCTCATCCCTGACACCTCCAAAATGTAAGGATATTAGTATTAAGCACTGACCACAGGGGTTGCAAACTTAAATGTGTCCGGGGGCTGGGCAGGTAACACAAGAGTCTTGCAGAGCCAGGAGGGGCTGAGGCTGCCTGCCTTGGCTGATGGGCAGTGCCTGGCCCACTCCAGCCGGTTACGGCCACCCAGAGATGCCACATCTGATTTCTCAAGAGGGTCTTGCAACCCATATTTTCAGAAGTCTCCCAAGGTTTTAAATGCTGGCACCAAATTCACACAAAACGCTGTTCAGGTCAAACGAGATTATGTGTGCCCCAGATAGGCCTGCTGGCTGATGCTTTGCAACCTCTGAATTGTTTTTAGTCCCATGTGCCAAAGAAGAATTTCCAGGTTCCAGTAGAATATATGATCCGTGAAGGCAGAAATTTTGGGGTCTTTTTCGTTAAGGGCTTTATCTCTAGCACCCAGAAAGGTGCCTTACACACTGTACGTGCTCCCTAATTTTTTTAAGTGGATGGTGTATTGAATCCTAGCATCAACCATAGAAATAACATTAAAAAAAAAAAATCTCCTTTTTATACGTAGCAAGATGGAGGCTCTGAGGGGCAAAATCCCAGGGTTCCGCAGCAGCACTGGGATCTGCATCCGGATCTTACCTGACTCCAAAACCGTAACCCTAGTCTATCCTGACTCTACTTGGGGTTATGCGTTTGCAATGCGGTGTGTGTGGACCTGAGTCCAGGGACGCGTTTTGGGGACTGTGGTGCCGGGTATGAGGTGGTGATGGTGGAATCGACCCTCCTGATTGGACACTGACGCTCCCGAAGCTAAACCTGGACGCTTGCTCCCCTCGGGCACGCTTGCTCTGGGTCCTCACCCAGTCCAGAGAGAATAATCCACCCCTCCCCTCCTTCCCCCTCCTGGGCCCATCCTCAGGGGTCCCCCCACCCCCTCCCCTAGATACCCAAGAGCCCCGAGGGAAAGGGGGAAAGAATTTAGGATGAGGGTGGAGGTGCGGGGAGGAGGGAGAGGGAAGGGGATGGGTTAAGAAGGAGTGTGTGATGTCAAGCAAAAAAGACAACATTAGACACAGATGCTGAGATGGCGTTTATCGCGGCAAAAAAAGGTGAAGTCGCCGAGGGAGGGGGGGAGGGGTGTGGTGGGGGCCGGGGTGGGGGCCATGGAAGCTAATACATGGTGCACTAGGTCACACGACGGACACTGGGGGTGGGTGGGTGGGGGTGGGCGTGGCCCAGGCATGGCAATGTGGGGAGGGGGAGAGGAGAGGGCAGCGGGCCCCAGCCAGGAGCTTCTGGAGGTGGTGGGGTGGGGGGTGCGGGGGGGGGGGGTGGGTGGGCGGCGTCTCTGGTCGCAGAGGATGGAAGGAATCAGTTAGAGGGGGTTGAATGGAGGCACTGGAGGCATGGCCACATGGCGGATGGTCTGGGCCCAAGAAATGGAATGTAGGGGTGGGCCGGCAGGCAGCGGGCCAGCTCTGGGCTTGGACCGCTAATCTAAGGATTGGGGATACCCAAGGGACCTTACAGGTCCTCCAAGCCCCCCATTTTCCAAGAGAGAGAACAAGCCTGGGGAGAGGCGAGCTTAAGGTCCCCATAAGGATTTAGTGGTCAGTTGTCCAAAGATGGTCATACCCTCACCCGCACTCTCCTACCCTGTCTGTCCCAAACAGAGAAAGGGGGAAGAGAGATTCTAACTCCACCATTATCTCACTGAGGCTCCTCAGGGAACCCGGAGGGCGAACCCAATTCTTAGATGGGGACAACTGAAACATTCCTGTCAGACTACACCTTTCCACGCCTCTCCCACCTCCCTGCCAGGGGATCTGTGCACCGCATCCGTCTAGGAGTAATACTGATATCTTGAAATCCTTAGCACTGGGGACGGGTGAGGACACACCTTGGGATTCTCCCAAATGTAACCGGGATGTGGGCCATGCCTCCAGTGCCCTGAGATGCCAACACAAAGAAAAAAAAATGACTCCCCACATCCCCTGGCTCAAACCCAGTACAAAAGTGACTATTTACAATGAAGGGGTGGAGAGTGGGGGGGCAAAGAAAGGAGTGGGGCCAGAGTGAGCGCTCCACTGGCAGGAGGCCACGCCCCTGGCCCCGCCTTTGAAAGGGACAAAGCCAAACAGCTGAGATATTTATAAAGGTCGCTCTCCCCAGGGCGGGGAGGACCCTGGGGGTGAGGGATGGGGGTAGGGCATGGGATGGGGTGCGAGTGGGGAGGCATGGGCGGTGGGAGGAGATGGAGGAAAGGTAGCTACTGCCCCTCGCCTCCCCCCTCCCCCTCGCCGGACACACAGTTTTCCGTGGGATGAACACAGAAAGGGTTAATCAAAAAGAGTTCGATGAGCGAGTCTGACGGTCGAGTGGGGCGGGCTGGAGCAATGAGGCCGCAGGTCCCGGTGGCCGGTGGTGATGGAGTCACTTAGAAGATGAGAGGTTGGTGGTTTTGGGGGGAGGGGTAGCGGGTAGGGAGGAGGAAAGGTGTGGGGAGGGGGATTAGGCGGTCCCCCCCAATTATCTCTGGGAGACAAGAGTGTCCTGGACTGGCTGAGAAGGGGTTAAATACCAGCAGCCCCCGTCCCCGTAACCCCCCCCCCAAAGACGTTCCCCATCTCCCTCCCTGCCACCCAGCAATCCCCAACGCGACAGGCAGAGGGCACTGAGACGGACCTTACATACACCGGCAGCGGCGCCACGGAGACAAGCCCCTCCACCACGGCGTCCAGACCGCTGACTGCAGTGGCGAGGGATCGGATAGCAGGGCTGGGTGTCGCGACTCCACGAGAGCCGTAAACTTGTGTCCCCGGCCCTCAGGGCCCCAACTTGGGCATCGCGATCCCGTTCTCCCCGTCGTGACATCCGGTTCAGGCTTTCGCGACGGCCGGCCTCGGAGTTCAAAGTCGGCGGGGGCAGGTGCGTGGCAAACAGCGCGAAGGCCTGCCTGGCTGTCCCGAGAGGTGTGCACCCAATCAGCAGCCTGGACGCCCAAAAATTGCCACCCTCGTCGCCACTCTTAGTGAATACTTTTTCCACCGCTCAGCGCCATCACGACCTCAAGTCCTGGTCTTGCAAGAGCAATAATCCATGCAGGGGGATCCCCTCATCACTTTCCAAACAGTAGGCCACCAATCAGAAACAAAATAAGGAGGGCGTGCGATGGAGGAATAGGCAAGAGAAACAGAAAGAGGGGATATTGAGGGACTTGGGAGTTAAGAAGGGGGAGAAGAAATACCACTCAGAGAAAAGTGGTACCATATTCTTCCAAGTATAGGTCCCCAGCCATCTATAAGCCGACTCTTAACCAAACTCCACTTGGGGTACCCATAATAATTCCCACCTACAAGTCCAGGGCAGGCGTTAGGGCAGATAAAAATGGCACGATCTTCACCTTCTGATCCCCTAATAATTATTGCAATGAAGCCTCCTTGCCCATGGAGAGATGGTTGGGACAGGGCAGAAGAAGGTGGCTGGGGCAGGTTGGCTCAGAGCCCCCTGAGACGGGGGATGAAGGAAGTGAATTTGGCACATTGAACCCCTTCTTCTCATAAGTGCTTTGAGGTCCTTCTCTGGAATCCAGCTGGCACCAATCCCTGGGGCCAGCAGAAGAGGGGCTGAGCTTGTCTCTCCCCCCACGCAATTTCTACAGATTTGCCCGAAGGAGGCAAGTGGGGTTCTCCCCGGCTGGTGGAATTTGGGGAATCCAAAAGGTTAGGGATTCGCTGAAGGGGAGTTTTTTTCTTTTTTTTTTTTTTTCTTACAAAGATTCTAAGAAAAACTCAGGGTGGGAGGGGTGAGGAAGGGGACCCAATTTAGCTAAGTGTCCACAGACTTTTTCAATGCCTCTTAGGGGCCTCCTCAGAGAGAGATGGTCCCATTTCCTCCCCTCTATCTGAGGTTCCTTCCCCCCCAGAGCGGCTCAGTTCCAAGGAAGTTTGGCACTTTTTTTTTTAATCAATGGGAAGGTGGGGGAGGAAAGAGAGTTAAGAGGAGTGAGAAGAGAGAAAAAGACAGACAAAGATAGAGACAGGACAGGTAACAATGGGAGCCACAAGGAGAGAAAGTAGAAAGCCATAGGGAGCCCGAGAAAGAAGAAGAGAGAAAGAGAGGGAGGGAGACTCTGGAAGAAGATGTTGGGAGCTGGAGGGCAAATGGGAAAGAACAGGGAGACAAGTCAATGCAGCAAACACTTATTAAGCACCTACTGGGTGCCGAAGAGCAGGGTGCAAGGAGGCCACTCAGAGTCTCTGAGATCTGATTGGCTAACAGGGAAGGGGGGGGAGAGGCGGTGGGTTTTTCAATGATCCCCATCCCTGACCCCACATCTGTGTCCCCTCTGGACATACTGCAGCACGAAAGATTGAGGTCAGAATGCAGAAGAGACTTTCAAGGGATGGGGAAGATGGTAGAGTGAATTTCCTAGGGTAAAAACGGGGAAAGGTGTGTGGCTCTCCACTCACCAACCTGGTGAGTGAACTAGCTCACTGAGCTAGCAAACTACCTTTCAGATAGCCCTGGCTGGTGGGGTAGGGGGTCCCCGAGAGATGTGAATAGGGAGGGGGTAGTCACACAGATACCCCAAGGGAACACTTTTCGGGAGGCCCAGCCTCCAGAGACGTGTCTGTGTGAGAGGAGTACTGGGTCCCACTGACGGGGACCCAGACTCCCATGAAAGGGGCTATAGAAAGCATCTGACAGACCAGGGCAGCTGAGGATGCAAATGATATGCAAATGAGTGCGTTCAAATCCCACCTCCCCACTTCCAGACCGTTTTACCTCTCCCTGGCTCCTTCCCCTCTTCATGAAGGCCTGGGGTGGGGGGCTGTAGGGGGCATATTCCAGCTAGACACTGCAATACCCACTGTGGGTGGAGATACTGTGAAATACCATAGGGTCTTCTGAGAGGCAGAGGGGCGCAGTGGCCCACAGGGCCACTTCCACCTCCAACCCCAAGAGCCCGGCCCCCTCCCCCCCCCCCCCCCCCCCCCCGCAGAAGATATGTACAAAGTTACATCAAGAATTGTTTTGGCACTCGAATCTCCATCTGGGTTCAGTCTGGAGATTAAGGGTGGGGGCAGCAGCGATGGGAGATGGGGGATGGGGAAATGGGGCCTGCCCCCCACCCTGGAGATGGAGAGGGCATGGAAAAAGTCACCCTAGTGCCCAAGCTACAGCCTCCCATCAGGTGGAAGGGCCGGGGTGGGAAATTCAGTGCAAGGTACCTTGAAGGCTATTGCTTTCTAGGGATTTTCACATTTTGATTTGGGGGTGGCTCTCTAGCAAGGGCAGGGGTCTCCCAGGCTTTAGGGGTGGGAATTGTCTCTGGCTTTTCTTCTCTCCCTTTGTGGGAGAGAGATGAGGAGGCCTGATTCCCCCAAAGCCATGGAGTAGAGAAGGGTCTGGAAGACCTAGGAGGGGGACAAATGGGGGAGAGGGTGGGCATGGGGTGCCCCTCCCCCAGAGATGCTGATGATGGAACCAGGGCATTGGGGGCCCTGCTTTGGGTTGGAGGAAGTGGAGGTGGTCTCCAAGGGGGAGGGGGAGATGGATGAGGGGAGAGGTGGGTCTCAGCTATCCTAAGTCCATAGGGTTGTCAGGCCCTGAAATCTCAGCCTGCCAACAAGGCCTTAGAGCTGACCACAGTCACAGTGCTCAGGGAGCCACTCCCAAACCAACTCTCCGGGCTGTCTGGCTTGGCAGACTCCATCAGAATATTCTAGCTCCTCAGGGCCCATGGCAAGAGCACCAAAACATTCTGATCCCTCCAATACTACCAAAGTACTCCAGCTTGCTGGAAACCACAAGCCAATCTAATCTACTAGACCACACGAAGCACTCAGGCTCAAGGGACCCTACCGTGGCTCACTGAACTCTACACTGGGTCATGATGGCCTGACAGAGCCACCACACATTTGGCTCACCAGACTCAATGGAACAAAGCCACGCAGACACAAGCATGCACACAAAAGGCGGGGGTGGGAATGGGGGTCTTTAACAGTTTTCACTAGCTCCATCTCCCACCCCTCCCTGCCAGGTTCACAGACTTGGTGTATTTGGATAGAGATGACCCTGACAATATTGGGTCTTTTTCCTTAGAGTCCTCCAGATATGCTCCAAGTCCCACCCCTTATTCTCCTCCTAGGCAGACCCCCAGGCCAAGACCCACCAAAGAGGGGTGCGGGCGGAGAAAGAGTGTCAGTGACTGGCCATGGCCCAATTCAGGAAGTGCATGCTCCATCCCAATGACGTCACAGGAAATAACCTGGAGATACCACAGGAAGTACATGCCCCCATGATGTTGCTGAAGTAACCTTCAAGGAAGGCCCACTGAGACATCATAGGAAGTACCTGTCTGTCCTATCATCACAGGAAGTCACCTCTGGGGAACTACTTCCTGTGACACCAGAAGGAGTCCCAGCAGCACCTCAGAGAGTACTTGACTCTTGAGAGGGACATCCCAACAGGGACCTTCATTCCCATTACTCTAGGTAAAACCACAGAAGATGCCACAGGAAGCTGTTCCAGCTTCTCACAAGAGTCTTGCCCACAGGACTGGACCAATCCTAGAGCTGGCCTCATTCCCAGCAGCACTGCAACCCCCCCCCCCATACGACCTGACAACAAAACAGTGAACAGTCCCACCTAGGAGGGGCAGCTCCAGTAGGGGTAGAGTCGCTGAGAAAATCTGGGAACTCTCGGGTCCCTGCTCCAAATACCCCATTTCAGCTCAGACTCCTCGGCTACCTCTACTCCCATCCCTTCTCTCAGATCTGGAACTGAAAGCAGGAGAGGTGGGGTGTTGTTTGGGGGAGGCCCCTCATTCTAGGTGGCCCAGAGGCTCCCTCCCCTCCTCCCATATGGAAACAAAAACTTACAAAGGGGGAAAAAAATCCTTACCAAAAAAAAAAAAAAAAAGAAAGAAAAGAAAAGAAAAGAAAAATAATAAAAGGAAAAAATAAAAGAAAAAAAAGAAAAAAGAAAAAAAAAAGGAGGGAAAGAAAGAGAAAATAACGCTTTGTTTTCTATTAAAATCAACAAAATGCAATATATACAGATATCACACAGACCCGGGCCCTGGGAGTGGAGGGTCAGGCCCAGTCAAGCACAGGGAGGAAGGAAGAAGGGTCAGTTCAGAGCCGGGGAGGGAGCTTCTGGGCCCCATCCCCAGCCATCCCTCAATCCTGCCTATGACTACCAGAAGGAGGGGAGGGTGCAGTCAGGCTTACCCCAGCCCCATCCCAGGAGGAGCAGGACGACACCCGAGCTGAGGTCAGGAGGTGGGGGTGGGGGTGGGGGTGGGGGAGGGGAGGAGAAGGAAGAGGAGGAGAAGGGGCCGGGAGGAGGGGTGGGAGCACACACCACAGGCCTCATCCCACTTTCTGGGGGTTTGAGGCCCTCACTCCCTGCTCGTAGGTGACCCGCTGGCTGATGAGGTATTGAGCGGCTTGCGTGGCCGCAGGGCTGCCCGTGATCGTGACCCGCCGGTTCCGCGTGCCAGGCAGGAACTCTCCCTTCTTGGAGATCTGGATGCGCGCGCCTGTCAGCTCCTGGTACTCCACCAACGTCTTGCCCCCTTTGCCCAGGATGGCCCCCACCAGGTTCTCAGGCACCGCGATCTCCACCAGCTCCTTGGCACTCTCAGCGGCCAACTTCTCCGCCGTCAGGAAGCCCCCGGCGGCCCCGGCGGCAGCTGCGGCGGCCACCAGCGGGCCACCCCCGCCGCCCGCGCCGCCGCCCGCGCCGGCCCCGAGGTAGCCGTTGGCGGCTGCGGCCAAGGCGAAGGACCCCAGGGCTCCGGGGGGCGGCGGCGGGGGCGGGGCGGCCCCTCCGGCGGGCCCGGCCCCCGCCTCCCCCGCGTAGGACGCCAGGAGGTTGGCGGCGGCGGCGGCGGCGGGGTTCGCACCAGCGGCCACGGCGGCCAGGACCCCGGAGGCGGCGGCCGAGTTGAGGCCCAGGCCGAGGGAGTTGGTGTTGTAGCCGTAACTGGCCAACGTGTTAAGCGCCGTGCTGATGGCCAGCAGGTCGGTGCCTGAGAAGGCAGGCAGCGCGGCCGGGAAGGCGCCCACGCCCGCCAGCCCCGCGGGGCCCAGCAGGCCGGAGGCGGCAGCGGCCGAGGCGGCGGCAGCGGCGGGCAGCACGTCGGCGGGGCTGGCGTACGGCGAGCCGGTGGGGTTGGAGTTGGCCACGGGGCCGGCCACGTTGGCGTAGCTGATGTTGAGGCAGCTGCTGCTCTGGGGGTCTTCCTGTACCTTCTGCACGATGGCGCTCACGGCCTTGTGCACCTGCTCCGGCTCGCCGCTGACGGTCACCACCCGCTCCTGAAGGTTGATGCCCTCTGGCTTCTGGGACAGCTGCACCCAGGCACCCGACTGTTCCATCACGGCTTTCACTGTGGCGCCCCCCTTGCCGATGATCAGGCCCGCCGTGCTGTTGGGGACGATCAGCTTGGCCTGCGTGTGGGGCGAGAGGGAGGGGCTTTAGGATGGTGGGTGGAGACTGAACGGTAACACTAGTCTTCAGGCGGCCCTGCTCTCCCGTGTCCCCAAATCGGGCCCGCTGCGCCCCTTGATATACACCGGTATGGTCCTACTGCTTGTTCAAAATGGTGACATACTTCCTTCCATATTGGTTGGTTAAAAAAAAAAAGAGCCAGTACTCCATGTCCTCGCAGTAGGCTCTCAGCCACCCTGTCCCCTGCCCCTGGGACCCCTGGGATTTCCCTTCCATCCAGCACCTTAAAGGCTTAATGGCTGACCCAGTGGGTGCCCTCCAGGACAGCGGGTGCTCCCAGCTTGCTTTGGTGCTCACGCCTTCTAGATCATTAAACACTCTGACTCGCAGCCCCAGAAAAAGGGGTCATTAAGTCTCACTTTACAGAGGAGCCACTTGAGGCCTACAAGGGACTGGCCCCAAGGCTACCCAGATTGTGGAGGAGTTGTAATCCAGCCTCTTGGATTCCTGCTCCGTCGTGTTTCCCGCCCTATGGCAAGGTCATGGCGCTTAACCTCTTTTTGCTATGGGCCAAATTGTTGCCCCCGCCATTCAGATGTTGAAGTCCTAACCCCCAGTACATCAGGATATGACTGTATTTGGAGAGAGGGTCTTTAGAGGCAATGAAGCTTCAGTGAGGTCATTGGGGTGGGCCCTAATCCAGTAGGACTGGTGTCCTTATAAGAAGAAGAGATTAGGACACAGGCACACCCAGGAAAGACTGCGTGTGACTGCGGAGGGGACGACCATCTCCAAGCCCAGGAGAGAGGCCTCGGAAGAAACCAACCCTGCCCCAGATCTCAGACTTCTAGCCTCCGGAACTGTGAGAAAATGAATTTCTGTTGCTTAAGCTACCCGGTCTGCCCTAGCAACCTAATGAAGTTGTCCTATCTGTAAAATGAAGATAAAAAAACCTTACATCGTGGGCGCCTGGGTGGCTCAGTTGGTTAAGCGACTGCCTTCAGCTCAGGTCATGATCCCAGGGTCCTGGGATCGAGCCCCACATCGGGCTCCCAGCTCATCGGGGAGCCTGCTTCTCCCTCTCCCACTCCCCCTGCTTGTGTTCCCTCTCTCACTGTGTCTCTCTCTGTCAAATAAATAAATAAAAATCTTTAAAAAACAAAACAAAACAAAAAACCTTACATCGGAGACAATCGGGCACTTAAATACAGCCGTCCCCTTCTCCAGTGCAGAAAGGCCCATCCTTTGCCCCTGCAAATCCGATCCATCTTAGTTCTGGGGGTGGGGGAAGGGGAGATTTCAAAACCAGAAGTCTCCTTTCACATACCCAAGAGCACTTCTACACATAGGTTCCTGTTGCTCAGTTCTTCCCATGTCCTCTCAGACCTGTGGGTTCCACCCTTTGAAGCCCCTGCCTCTCCTCTCGCCCCTGAGCCAGACACCAGGGGTGTTTGGGAAATTTGTGAGAGCACTTTTAGTTGTCATGACGACTGGGGGGGGGCAGATGCAGGCATGCAGTGGGGCAGGGCCTTGGATGTTGGCACCCCACAACCTGAGACTCGGTTATTCACAACGTCAAACCGAGGAGAACTGTCCGGGTCCCGTATGACTTTTAAGTGACTCCCTGGACATTCATGTTGGCGAAAAGTCTGTTTATAAATCTCAGAGCCCAGACCTGAACCCGACGGTCCATATTAAGTACCTAGTATTTTCTTTTTCCCACGTGTTTAAGATCTGCTGAAATTTCCAGGAATGCAACTAATTGGTCAATGAAGGGACGATTTTACTTTGTTTTGTTCTGAGCTTTACCAAGAGTGGTTCATCACTTACCCCCCCCAAAAAAACCCCATGAAAACAGTAGTAATGCCACGTGTCTTATTTACATCTCACTGTGTTTGTCACTGTCTCTCTCAGGCTATGTGAGGTGTGAGCAGCTGACTATTTCATTACTTCTACTGTAGTAATATGTAATGTTTACATATTAAAATTCATCTCATTTTATAACCCATCACCTTCCTTTTATTTTTCCTTTATGTAAAAAAGTCTTACGGGATAAAGAAAATGTACATAAGTACAATGAAATTTTCCTTGGCAATCAATTTAAATGAACAAAGTACTGATCCAGGCTACAACATGGATAAAGCTGGAAAACACGCTATGTGAATGAAGCCAGACACCAAAGACCACATATTGTAGGATTCCATTTATATGGATGTTCAGAACAGGGAAATCTATAGAGACAGAAAGTAGATTAGTGGTGGCTTAGGGCTGGGGGGTGGTGCTGAGCTGTGGGGATTGAGGAGTGATAGCTAAGGGGATCAAGATTTCTTTCTGAGGAAATGAAATGTTCTAAAATTGATTGTGGGCATGGATGCACAATTCTGAATATAATAAAAACTTTGAACTGCATGCTTTTGATGGGTGAACTGTATGTATGTGGAATTAATATCTCAATAAAACTGTTAAAAATCTTACAGATTTAGATAGGTAATACATCTACATTATATGCATTTTCCATGTACTGAAATGAGTGTGTGTGTGTGTGTGTGTGTATAATTTCAGAGGTAAGCGGGCTGGGAAAATATTTGTAGGAGAAAGAGGACATGGGGTTTGACAAGCCTGAGAACCACTGCTCTACTTGCTCTGTTCTTTGTTGATCTGACTGCAACTTTTCCCTCCCTCCCTCTTGCTGACTTCATGGCAGGCGTACTAACTCCCTGCTGTTCCTTCAAGTCACAAGCTTGGTGCAGACTCAGGGCCTTTGCACCCGCTATGCCCTCACTTAGAATGCTCCTACCCAGAAAAGGAGGCTCACCTCTCTCATCATTCAGGTCTTTGCACAAATGCACCCCCTTAGAGAGGCCTTATCACCCCAATTATCAAGGCTTGTTTATTTGCTTATTTTATGTCCTTAGCACAGACACCTCCAGACTTGTATCCAGCTGCTAACCTCAAATCTCTAGAATGATGTCGAATGGACACTGCAAACTTAAAATCCAAAGTGGAACTCCTCATCTGCTCAAATGTGTTTCTACCACGGTCTTCCTCATTTCAGTATGTGGAAGGTGCACCCTTTCACTTCTCAGGCTCAAGACTTAGGAGTCCTCTCTTTTCCTCCCACTCAACATCCAATCAGCAATTCTGTTGTCTCTACCTTCAAAATACATAGTAAAGGGGGGGCCTGGCTGGCTCAGTCGGTGGAGTGTGTAACTCTTGATCTCGGGGTTGTAAGTTCGAGCCCCATATTGGGTGTAGAGATTACTTAAAAAAAAAAAAAAATCTCGGGCGCCTGGGTGGCTCAGACGGTTAAGCGTCTGCCTTCGGCTCAGGTCATGATCCCAGGGTCCTGGGATCGAGTCCCGCATCGGGCTCCCTGCTCCTTGGGAGCCTGCTTCTCTCTCTGCTTCTCTCTCTCTCTCTCTCTCTCTCTATCTCTCATGAATAAATAAATAAAATCTTTAAAAAAATAAAATAAAATCTTAAAAAATACATATATGGTAGACTATTCTAGATTAAAAGAGATGAACGAGGTATAACAACTCAATGCAATGCATGAATATTGACTGAATCTTGGATAGAAAAATGCTTTATAGACATAAAAGATATTTGGGGACAATGTGAATATGAACTCTTTATTAACTAATAGCATGGAATTGGTGTTAATTTTTGTAGGTGTGATAACAGTAACATAACAATATAGGACATGTCTTCAGTCTTGGGAGATGCATGCCGAAGAACTTGGGTGTGAAGAGTCATGAGGTTTATACTTATTTTCAAATGGATCAGCAAAAACAAACAAACCACCCAACAAACAAGCAAATAAAGCCAACCAGTGCTTGTGTGTGTGTGTGTGTGTGTGTAAAGAGATAAAGCAAATGTTAACGATTGGTGAATCTAAGTGCAGTGTATAGGGAGTTCATTGTATTATTCTTCAACATTTTCAAAATAAAAAGTTAGGAGAAAAAAATGCCCCAGGACTCTTTCCCCCTCTTTTTCTGCTTTATTTTTCATCATAGCACTTTTCACTCTCTGACATTTACTTATTCACTTGCTTGTTTTCGGTTTCCCCATGAAAGAATGTAAGATCTACAAGGGTAGAGATTTTTGTCTGTATTGTTTACTACTTGGTTCTCGGTGCCTAGGGGAATGCCTCTCGTAAGCGTTGAGCAAAGAGTGTGTGAATGGATGGATGGATGGATGGATGAAAGGAATGGTGATGTGCCCACAGGACCAAGCAGGAATGGGACTGGATGGAGGTGACCAGATATATCTCACCTATGGTGGTGGTGGTGGTGGTGGTGGTGTGTGTGTGTGTGTGTGTGTGTGTGTGTGTGTGGAGGTGGGGAGGTAGGGTGCTGTGCATTTCAGTACACAAACTCAGCCTGATCAGAGTTTTTAGATTAATTGGACATTCTGATTTGTAAAATGGGAAGCACCTTAGTTTTTATCTATTGGCTACCTCTTCAAAAGGTCTATGAACTACCGTGTAGTAGCAGACCACTAGTTTGCAGTTTGTGCGTACGAATCTCTGAAAAGCTGCTTTGGACTCTGGAGTCACTTGCTCAGGTTCGAAATCCTGGCTCCACCACTAATGCTGAGCAAGGGACCTAACCTCTTTGAGACCCAGTTTTCTCATCTATAACATCCATCCCTCCTCCACAGAATTATTGTGGAGGCTAACTGAGATCATTCATCAAATGATGAGCTTGATTGAGCATAACTAGTGCCCCTTAGTTATGTTTCTGCTTGGCCCTTATGGGCATGTCATCATCCATTTATTCAAACAAGCAACATTTGCTGAGAACCTACTATGTGCAAAGCATAGGGTGCCATGTGAGTGTGCAGGTAATATGTGCTCATAGTAGATACTCAAGAAATGGTTGTTGTCATTGTTACCTCCATGGGCAGACCTGGATTTAAATCTCATATCTGTGGTACAGTTGCTTTGCAAAATAGTCTGACAATTCTTCCAAAGGTTAGACATATCCCAATTCCATCCATAGATATATACTCCAAAGAACTGAAAACCATACCCACACATATGTTCATAGCAGCATTCTTCATAATAGCTAAAAAGTAGAAACAACCCAAATGACTATCGACTGATAGACAAAGTGTGGTATATCCGTACAGTGGAATATTATTTGGCCATAAAAAGGAATTAAGTTTTGATATATGTTACAATACAGATTAATCTTGAAAACAGTATGCTAAGGGAAAGAAGCCAGACACAAAAGGCCATGTATTATGTCATTCAATTTATATAAAACATCCAGAATAGGCAAATCCATAAACACCAAAAGTAGGTTAGTGGTTGGGACAGGGAGGGGGAGCTGGGAGAATGGACAGTGACTGCCAAAGAGGATGGGGCTTCTTTTTGGAGTGGTGAAAACGTTTTGGAATTACATTAGGTGATCAATGCACAACTTTGTGAATATACTAAACACCACTAAATGGTATACTTTAAAATGGTGAACTGTACAGTATGTGAATTATACCTCAACTTATATATTAAAAAAAATCATCAGAAAAAAGTCTGACAGGTCAAGAGGATAGAACAGAATGCATGAAACCAGACCTAAGAGTCAAGAGGTATTCAGTATGATACAGCATTTCAGAGGGAAAAAGGAAGGATGAAGTAACTGTTCACCAAGAAATGGTAAGAGCAAATGCCTTCACCTTTCTGCACCTCATTTCCTCTCCTCCAACATGGACGTAACCACAGCTACTCCATACAACCATTGGGAATAGTCAATGACTGGAGTGGCAAATGGTTAACTGTCTTCATGATAGGCCCAGGTGGTAGACCCACAGCATCTTAGGGAGATCACAGGTGCAGTTTCATAGAATCCTGGAGTGCCAGGATGTCAGTCAGAACAGTAGAATCTTAGAATAATGTACGTTGAGAATCTTGAAATTACAGAGCCGTAGAATTGTAGGAGTTTTAGGGCCAGAAAGACCTCAGAGAACATCTGTCCCCGTGATTTGCAAGTCTGTGGAGATTTGCAAATAGTAATAGTATAATAATAATTATACAGCTAACAGTCTTTCCATTTGCCAGACACTTTGGTAAACACTTTCATATAGTCACTTAATCTCTACAACAACCCTACAAGAATAGGCAGGCACTTTTATTATCGAATTTTATGGCTTGGAAAGCAGAGGCAAGAGAGGTTAAGAAACTTGCTCAAGGTCACACAGATAGTAAGTAATAGAGCCAGGATCTGATCCCAGTCAAGAATCTGTGTTCAGATTCCCAAGCCTTCACTCCAGAAATTCTGATTCAGTGGCTCTGGGCTGGGACCCAGGAATCTGCATTCTAAGCTACCTAGATGATTCAGATACCAGCCAGGACTGAGAACCACCAGTCTAGCCCAGAGGTGGCAAATTGGTGGTCTTCAGGCCACGGGCAGCCCACAGCCACATAGTGGTTTTAAGATTGAGCCAACCTTTAAAAATCAGTTGATGTCAAATATTTCTGGCTTCTTCTGAAAAATTTGTAAGATGTGGCAACACTTTGTCTACATTCCCAAAGGGCAAGAATTGAGTCGAGTTGAGTAGCAGCTGCCCCCTTTAGGGATGGCATTATATCTCTCTGATGAGGCCAGAGTCCCCAATTCTTTATGTTCCCTTGCTGAATCTTGGAGGCATTTCAATTTATAATCCCTGATTTGGCCCAGCTTCCACACTGTAAAGAAAGGAAACTGAGGCTTACAGAAGGGAAAGGAACCTAGAGTAACACAGCAAGTCCAATGTAGAAAGAGAGTAGACCCGTCTCCTGACTTAAAAATCCCATAATAATATCAGCAGCTGACATTTTTTGAGAACTTTCTATGAATTAGGCATACATGCTAAGTCCTTTTTAAACATCAGTGAACACTGATCACTGCCCTTAAGTAGGTGCCATAATGAATCTCATTTTGCTGATGAGAAAAATGAGGCATGGAGAAATCAAGTCACTTGTTCAAGGTCACACAGGTCTAAAGAAGTATGTTATCAGAGTAAGATTCAACTCCACATCTGACTCCAGAGCCTGAGCCTTCAGCCATTATCTTTCATTCTTTAGAGCCCCCTAAGTAATAAATAAGGAGAGGAAAAATCCTGGTTCTTTAACCTTTCAATTCCACTATCTCAGAGTTCCTGTGGATTAGGGGGTGGGGTGGAAGGATCAGGCACAGATGGTGCTGACCCCATTTTCCCTGAAACATGTGCAAACCCTTCATGAACTCTGAGCCCTTTGTGGCAGCGACCAAAGGAGAGGGAAGAGGCAATATCCTTGCCACCGTGTAAATGGTGTGGCCTGCTGGTGGGAAGGGATTCGGGAGAGACCTGGCAGAGCCTCTTCAGCACCAAGGACAGCAGCCGTGCTCCAAGCTCCAAGCCCCAAGCTCGAAGTCTTTTTTGGGAATAATTCGCTTGGCAGCATTCTTCCAGGGCTTTCCGCCCACCGTTTCCCCAGGAGCTTGGGGGAACTCAGGTCCATGGTTTCTCCCATCTCAGGGTAACAAGAATTCCAGATTCCTTTTACCGAGGGTCTCTCTCTCGTCTTTGCTTCTAGGCAGACGATAAGGAGCCCTCACAAGTGGCCTGTCCTCCTGCCAGGGGCTCTGGCCCCTCTGCATCTTGTGTGCAAGTATATGGGAGTGGGGAAGGGGAGAGAAAACGGGGAGTGTGCGCAGCTCCGCTCCCCTCCCCTCCACCTCCTACCCATCCAGGGCCACGCCAGGGGCTTTGCAGCAAGCCCACCTGCCCGGTGAGCACCGTGGTCATGGCAACCAGAGAGGCCAGGGTAGTGATTGGTCCGCTCCCTGCCACGCCCCTACGCCACCGCTTCCCCGTAACTGAGGCAACCAAGAGGCGCTGCCCTCCTTCCATCCCTCCTAGAGAGGGCTGTGTAGGAGAGGGACCTGCCCCCTCTCTCTCGCTAGCAAAACACCCATTTCTCCAAAATGGTGACTTACCCCATACCATAATTAATGGAGAGAGGGAGTATGAGGCCATTTCTAAACTCTTCTGGATGTGGATGGGTTGTCAATGAAGTCACTTCCGGTGAGAACAGGAAGTGGGAGGCAGGTTGCTCTGGGAGACAATGGGATGAGGTGGAAGGAAGGAGAGGAGAGGGTCTAGAGAATCCCAGGAAGGAGGGATGGGGGGCTGCTGGGACAAATTCTCCCAGACCTTCACTCTCTCTCTGCGTCAAGCCCACTCTAAGAGGTTTGGAGTCCCTAGGCTGACTCCCTAATAATACAACTGCTATCATGTATTTGATTGACAAACGTCTTATCGGCGTTATCCCATTCCATTCCCACGGTAATCCAGTGATATGGGAGAAGTGTCTTCTCCCGAACCTCACCGGCTTTACAGAAACCCAGTATTTGCCCCTGCTGACCTGCTTGGCTCTGTCGGGGTTCATCGTGGTTTGGGGTTGAAGGATGTTGACCACCTCAGGCTTGGTCATTGCTTGTGGGATTTCTCGGACCTTCTCAGCAATAAAGCTGTGCACAGCATTCAAGGCCTCTGCTGTGCCCTGTACCAGGCATACTCGTTCTGTGGTTCCTGTTGAGCAAGGGAGAGAGAGGGCACCCTCATCACACAGGAATGGGAAGATTCCTGGGAGACAGGCCCCATTTAATGGAAAGAAAAAACCTAAATCGAGAAAGTGGACCTAACTGGGCCCAGGTCACATGGGTAAGCCTGGGGAAGCTGGCATGGACTCCCAGGCCATGATGGGTAGCTGGGAAAGTGAGTGGAATGCCTGTTTTATAATCTGCACTCCATGTCCCTCCCCCAAAACAACCCCAGGGGATGGAAGAATGATACTTAAGTGCTTTGCGATGCCCACAGCAGCCCTGGGCAGGGGAGACAGGGCTCAGCTGCCTCTTCCCAGTCCTTGCTGGCTCCCGGTTGCTCTGGCAACCATTCACTCACTCCCCCCCCCCCCAGAAGCCGAGAGCTCAGGCCTGCAACGGTTGCCACAGTAACTGGAACCCCCTTATCGGTCTGGCTGGCCGGGTCCTCAGCCCACCCCCAGGGGGACGAGGGACGAAGCCCCGTTGCCGTGGCAACCCCTGAAAGCCTGCAGCGAAGGCCTCTGGGCTTTTGGAGAGGATGGGGAAGGGCTGGGGGATGGGGGAGACAGAAGAGAGGCCAGAGTGCCCGCCTGGACCCACCAGATGGAGGGCTGAAGGGTGGGGGAGGGCAAGGGTATGGACAGGAGAGAGCAGAGACAACTCATGGAAGGGTAGGGACTCAGGGATGGAGAAAGGAGGGTGAGGTGGATGCCTTTGCTGGAGATTGTCTAGATTTTGGCTGCGGTTCTAACCTAAGCATCCTCACTCTGTGTGTGTGTGTGTGTATGTGCATGCATGCGTGTCCATGCATGTGTATACCTGGGCTGGACTGGTTAAATTATCTTTATCTGTGTATGTGTATAAGAGAAAGAGTGGGAGAGACTGAGATGTCAATGTGACACAATGAATCCAGTAAAGATATGTGCACTCTTGCACATGGGAAAGACTTTGGGTGTCACTGTGATGTTCAAGGTTATGGATATACTGTTTGTGAGACCGAACTGCTTGTCCAGGAGAGTTTGAGAGAAAGAAACAAAGAGTCTCATGAAGCAGCACTGGGGCTGTATGATGAATGAATATCACTTTGAGACTGGATGTCAGCGTGAGTGTTGGCAGCAAAGAGACAACCAGACACCTTTCGGTGTTCAAAAGACTATTTGGATGACTGGTGTGTGGTATGTGTGTATATGTGCGTGAGCCTGTGCGTAGGAGACAGACAGACAAGACTCTATCATTGGTGTGTGTCAGTGCGAGCAAGAGTGAGAGAGAGACCGACAGGCAGACTCAAGTGTCAGTAGGACGGGAGGACTGGTGTGTGTGTGTGTGTGTGTGTATCTGGGTGTATATGCATTACAGCCGGACAAAGACGGCTCTACTGTCACCAGTGGTGTGACAGGGTGTGTGCCCGGCTGAGCTGCACATGTGTGGTGCGTGGAGTGGGTGTCTGTCTCTCTCTCTGGGTGGGACTGTCTGCAGGGACCAGTTAGCTCCTGGGTCTGTGAAAGGTCTTGAGTGTACGCCAGGTTTCATGTGCCTGAGTGTCTGGGACATTTGGGGGTGAGGGTCCAGTCTCCTGTGGGCATTCTAGCGCAGCATGATGGTGCCACCATCCTGACCCCTCGCTGGCCATCTCTCAGCCTGGCATGCCAGTCTCACCATGTGTCCGGGTGTCACTGTCTTGGGGGCACTTGGATAGTTGATATCCTCCCTCTCCTCCGGGCCACTGTTCCTCACTTATTGCCCCCAACCCCAGAACAATGGACTGGTCTGAGCCAAGGGTGAGTCAGCGTGCAGGCTGCCTCCGTCTGGGTGTAAATAGGAAAGGGTGTGGGTCAGGGTGGGAACTTGGGGGGGCGGGGTAGCCCTAGGGAGAGCCTGGCTGAAATGGCTCTGCTCTCCACTTCTGCGAGGATCCCTTCCAGCTCAGGGAGGCTGGGATTTCCCACCCTTTGTGGTTCCCAACTGGGGTCCACGAGGGCTTTGGGGGGCTCGGTTAGCCCCTGAAGGAGTGTCCAATAATGACAGCTGGTGCTTACAAAATACCAAGTGTTAGGCACTATTCTAAGCACTTTGTATATATTTGTGCACTTCAAGTAGGAGGTAGGCAATATTATTATTCTCAATTTACTGCTAAAGACACTGAGGCACAGAGGAGCTTTGGGATCTGTCCAAGTTCACTCAGCCAGTAGTGAAAATTCAGGGTTTCGAACCCAGGTGTCTGGGTTCAGAGTCTGGGCTTTTAACCACTGAGCTACCCTGTGCTCAAGCTGGGGTGTGCGGACTCTTGTGTGTGTTTGTGTGTGTTGGGAGAAAAGCATAAGATGACTCCATTTTTGCTACTGTATTTTTGATAGTAAAAAAGAATATGTACTGATTTATTAAGTAATCACTTAAGATTTTGTACTTCAAGGCAATATGTTATAAATAAATTTTTTTTTTAAAGTGTGTGTGTTCTGTGCTTTTCTTCTGGGGACAGAGCTTCAGGCAAACGCTCAAAATCAGAAGGAGTTTGGAATCACTACGGTGTTTGAGTGGATGGACGGAAGTCTGTGTGTGTGGCTTTGGGCAGCTGCCTGCTTCTTTCTGGATCTCAGTTTCTCCATGTATGATCTGGAAGGATAGAGTCTGGGGCTTGGTGTTTCCTGTACCAAGGAGGGGACACCCTTAGTGCTCTGCCCCTCCCTTGGGGTTAAGGGTCAGGTAGGTTTTTGTTTCATGTAGTAGATACAAGTGCAGTGTGTGTGTGCGTGCGACGTGTGTGTGTCCATCTGTCTGTGGGTTTCACCATTGTCATTTCTCATTGTTCTGTATGATTCAGTCACAGTGAACAAACTCCCCCTCCAGGCTTTGAAGATGCTAGTTCATCTTTCCGGAGTACTCTTCCCTGCTTTTATCTAGCTCACTCTTACTTATTGTTCCGGGCCCCTCCTCCAGGAAGCACTCCCTGACCTTCCCAGGCTGGGTCAGGTGCCCCGTCCGGGCTGCCACCATCCTCTCGGCTTCCCCGTCCTAGCCCTGACCACGCTGGGTCATTGCTGGTGTTCAGTCTGCCTTCCCTACTGGGCTGTGAGATATATGAGGGAAAGGGGCTGTGAGATCTGTGTCCTCATCTCTATCCATAGAATAGGTGCTCAGAGAATGCAGGTTGAATAAATGAATGAAAGGGTGTTAGTTAGCCAGGAGCAGAAGGAAATACACTCTTCGTTTCAAGCAGTAGCATCTTCATTTCTTGTGTTCCTGTGGGTCCTGGGAAGTCCTAGGGGCAGGACTAGGATGTAGGGGGCCGTGTCCCGAATCTCTGAGCTGCACAAGCCATATGATCTGGAAATCCTATGTCAGCGGCGGGGGGGGGGGGGGGGGGGGGGCGGTGCTGGATGCCCGTCTGGGGCTGGGGAGAGATGCTGGCTCACGTTGCTTGTTTGAATAGTATTTGGCCCAAGAAAGCCAATGACTGTCCCATCCTCTGGGGTTCTCAGCTGCCTGGCCTATGGGGTGTGTCACTGAGTTGGGAGGAGAGGATGTGTCTCATGTCACAGAAGGTGATCCAGGCATAAGGAACCAAGTGTCCTTGGATAAATGCCCCAAGCAGAGGTCTTATCCGTATCTTGTAGCTTAGGGGGCATGTGAGGGAAACTGGGCCAGGGTGGAAGAGGAAAGTGGGGTTGGGGGCTGTGCCTGGTTCCCTGGACGCTTCTCTAAACCTCTTGCCAAAGCTGCTTAGTGAGATGGGAGGCAGGGCAGGTGGAGGGAGGAGGGAGAGAGAGAGAGAGAATATGAATGTGTCCTGACCCTGGGCTCCAGCTCTGGTGTTTGACCTAAAAAATCCAAGGGGATTAAGGATGAACTAGAATCAGCTCTGGACCAAAGATGCAATTCTGGGGGCCTTCCCTGGGGGCCATCCTTAGATGTCGAAGCCCAGGCATTGGTCTTGGGAGGGGAAGATGGATGGGGTGACAGATAATGCAGGGAGCAGTAGAGAGGGAGTGGAGGGGTCTTGGAAATGTTATGGTTGTAGGGAGAAAGAGAGCTGGGGGAAAGGCAGAAAAGGGGCTGGGTTTGGAGGAAGGAAGGAAAAACATGTGGGGGCTGAGACTGGGAAGGAAACATGAAGGGAGAGGTGGGTGAGAGGGGCAATCCAGCAGATCGTTGAGGTGCTCCTGAATATTGTTGAGTGGATGACTGACCAGAGAGAGTTCAGGAGCAAGAGAAAGAAAAACACAAGATTATGAGAGGTGGAGGGCAAGGAAAAGATGGGGCGAGGGGCGGGAAGACAAGAAGGGGAGGACAGAGCAGGGAGGGAGGGAGGAGGAAAAGCAGAGACGGACAGGACAGATGGATGGGGACAAGGGGTGGGGGACATCCAAACGGAATCAGAGAGATAGAAGCAAAAAAGAGGAGCCGGAGAGAGGTGGATGGGAATGGAGACTCAGGGAACAAGAGATGGGAAAGTCAGAAACAGAATGAGAGAGACGTAGGAAGAATGACACAGACAGAGAAAACCAGCGAGACTCAAACTGGGCAAGATGGGGTAACAGAGAAATCCAAAGGGAAAGAGTGGGGGGAAAGAAGTGTGTTTGTGGGGGGAGTGTGCAACACGCTGGCCGGCCCCCCAACCCCAAGGGACACCCTGACACCTGCCTCCCTGCCCACCCTCCTCCAGCAACTCCAACTGACCCAAAGAGGCAGGTGTGTGGGAAGGGGCACATCTGCCAGCACATCATGCAAATGAGCTCATGAATATGCAGCAGGCCCATTGTCTTGCCCTGCCCCCACCCCCATCTGCTCAGGCGTGGCCCCTGGGGCTGAGGGCAGCTCTGTCCTCTTAGGAGGAGGGGAGGCCCCCCCATCACTATGACTGCCCCAAGGGCAGCCCTTCTTCCCCCTTATCCAGGGCCCAGGTGGGAGGGACAGGAGGCCAAGGGCAGAGTCCTGGGCCAGGGCTCACCCGGATAGAAGTCTTTGGACTTAGAGAGCTTGATGGTGGCTCCTGTCTCCTTCTGCAGCTGCACGATGGTCTGCCCGCCCTTGCCAATGATGGAGCCTGCCGCGTAGCTGGGGATCAGCACCTTCAGGAAGTATTCGCCTTCCTCTGCAGGGGCACATGGGTAGGGGAGGTAAGGGAGGCAGGGGAAGGGGTCTTCACCTTCGGCATAATGTGGGCAAAGGAAGCCACCGGCATCACGGGAACATACAGAAGCAATGGCCAGGAGAACAGCAGCAGGGAGAATAATACAAATAATGATCTTTATTCATTCACTTGCTCATTCATTCATTCATTCATTCCACGAATAGTTACTGAGCACCTGCTGCCACACGCTTGGCACTGTTTTAGTGAAACAGCCGTGAGGAAAACAGACAAACTCCCTGATTTCACAGGCAAATGAGGCAAATAAGGCCGAGAGAGTTTCAGTGATTCAGCCAAGAGCTCACACAGCTACATTCTTCTAGAGTGGGGGAGACAGACAGTATGTTTTATGTTGGATGGCGGTCAGCACCAAGAAGACCAAAAGGGGCAGGAGAAGGGAAGGGGGGTTGTAGGGGCTGCAGTGTCAGATCCGGTGGCCAGGAAAGCCCTCCCCAAGAATGTGGTATCCTTTGTTTAACAAACACCTCTACAGAACCTAGTATACACTAGACTCTGTTCCAAGTACTACACAAATACTAGTTCTGTTAATTTTTCACACTGATGCTGTGAAAGAAGTACTTTGCAACCTGGCTTTAGAGTCCAGGCTCTAGACCCTTATGACTGATTGTTTCCAGGCTGTGGAGGTGGGAATGGAACCATGTGGCTCTGTGGGAGAGCAAGTGCAAAGGCCCCGGGATGGGATTGTGCCTGAGTTGTCCGAGGGAAGGTGAGGTAGCCAGTGTAGCTGGGGCTGAGGAAGAGAGGTGACGAGTGGAAGGGGATGAGGGCTGGGAGGGGTGGTGGTAGTGGTGGGGCCATGGTGAGATCTTTGATTTTTACTCCAAGTGAGATGGGAACCATGGGAACCAGAGATGGCTCTGAGCAGAGGAGGGATGGGATCTGACTTAGGTTTCCAGAAGATCCCTCAACACTCAATATGGACCCTGTACTGTGATGAGTGCTTTGCAAGCTTGACCTCAACCATTCCCTACAACTGCCAATGAGGGGGGTATAATGAGCTCCATTTGTATGTGGGAGGAAACTGAGGCATGGAAGTGTTGAAGGCACCAGCCCAAGGTCAGCTGCCCAAGGGCACCAAAAAAGTCACTGGCTTGAGATTCCGATGCAATTCTGCTTCATTCTTGGCCCTCACTTGCTTAGCACCTTCCGATGCTGGTGGCCGAAGACCAATGCACTCAAAGACAGTCTCCAAGACCCAGGGGTGGCAAAGTGGTGCCAGTGGTCACTTGTGGGACTGTGGCCATTCTTTGTTATGGACCAGTTTTCTTGGTCATGTGTAAAGCGCTTTGTTAATGCACTCAAGGCACATGCTTAACCTCTCCTACCTTTTAACCCAACTGTTGTCCCTAAGTTCTCATAGGGTAGAAATTCTGGAGCCTTCTCAGCATAAAACCCTCTGTGATTTGGCCCTGCACTTCTTTCCAGCTTCACGCCCTCATCTTCCTCCACGTGCATCAGACCTACTTCCTCTTTGTTCCTTAAACGTTCCCTCCTCCCACCCACCTCAGGGCCTTTGCACGTTCCTTTTGCTTGGAACTCCCCTCCCCCAGTGAATTCCTCTTGTCCTTCAGGTCCCCACTCAAATGTTGCTTCTTCTTGGAAGCTTTCTTTGAACCCTGGGGAGGAGATGGATCCCCTCCCGTTCGTTTCGTGCCTTCAGAGCAATGTATCACATTAGTCCACTGGAGCTCACCCCTGTGTCCCAGGGACTCATGCCATGGCCCAGGACACAGTAGGCATGCAATAAACACTAGATAAAGGAAAGGAGGAGCCAGGTCACTCTGCTTCCAAAGCTTAAGGTCTTAAAACATCCCCCAGTGGTTTTTAAATTTTTTTCTTTTTAAGCAAAGGAAGCCTATTTTCAATGTCTCACATGAAACTCCAACACACAGAGCAGATAAAAGAGAAACTGTTCTGGTAAAAGTGGGGGCAGGGCGGGGGGACCGGGAGCCCTGCCCATGTCTGCCTGATCTCTTAAGATTGAAGGCTCTGGGCTCCCTGATGCGTTAAGATGGGGGTACAGGGGCGAGGGGCTGGATGTGGCTTCGCAGGCACGGGGAGGGGGTCCAGGATGAAGGGGTTGTCCTGAGCCCAAGGCAATCCACTTAAACTTGCCTCATCAGACCATTAAACCTATTAGGTAATTAGCCCCCCAGAGTGCCTTCCCATCAATCATCCTGACCCCCCTGAATTCACTTTCTTCCCTGGATTCACAGAGGCAGCCTCTTCCCTGCCCCCGCCCCGTCCCTAAACCTGTCACAGAGATGGGGGACCAGTCCTCCATCCCTGAAAGGCTCAGAAAGATGGGGAGGGCATTCTCACAAAGGACTCCATCCTCTTTTTCCTTCTTTGACTTCAATCCCTATTTTCTCTCCAGCCAGGGCCTCTTCCCCAACTTCCTTCTTGAAGGTGGAAGGTGTTCATCTACTCTGAAGAAAACTGGGTATACCCCCACCCCATTTTCTCTGCCCTCTGCCTTCCCCTTCTCCAGGAATCTCTGTATGCAACAGCAGAAGCAGCCTTAGACTGAGTGTGAATTTTGTCCCTGACGGACCATGGGGCCTTGGGCAAACCACCTCACCTAATGGGGCCTAAGTGTTCTCATCGGCACAATGGGGACGTGATGGCATTACCTCAGAGGGCTATGGTAATTAATTAAGTGATAAACCGTAAAATACTTAAGACGGTCTCGGGCACGTGGAGCACTTGAGAAATGTTAGCTATCATTACCTCCACCATCATCATGACCATTACTGATGTCAGGAACACAAGGAAAGTTCTTCTCACAGCGTCTGGCCCAGAGTAAGTGCTCTACAAATGGGGAGATGAGCCTCTGAGGTCTGAGGTTTTCATTGAGTGATGGGAGAAGGAGGGGAGACCCCACTTCCTTCATCATTTGCCCCCTAGGGGCTGTCCCAGGCCTTTCTCTGTTTCTGGGAGGAGGAATGAGCTCTCGCTGATGGAAGCAAGACCCTGCCCAGCATCTCTCTGACTCCCTTCCTTCTCATGCCACTTCTTTTTTTTTTTTTAAAGATTTTATTTATTTATTTGAGAGAGAGAGAGACTGAGAGAGAGAGAGCATGAGAGGGGGGAGGGCCGGGAGGGTCAGAGGGAGAAGCAGACTCCCTGCCGAGCAGGGAGCCCGATGCAGGACTCGATCCCGGGACTCCAGGATCATGACCTGAGCCGAAGGCAGTCGCTTAACCAACTGAGCCACCCAGGCGCCCTCTCATGCCACTTCTTGACTTTGCCCTCGATGTATCCCCTCGGTACTGTTTCCTCCCTTCTCTCCCCCTTCTCTCCCTTCCTCCAACAAATCCTCCCTGAGCACCCACTCTGTGCCAGGCCTTGTTTGAGTTGCTGGTGACACAGCAGGGAACAGACAGTCCATTTCCTTCAAGTCCACTCACTTTTAAAATTTAAATGCATCTCTTTAAAGAGGACACTTAAAAACCACTGCTAATAATCAGAGTCTGAAGCCTGGTTATGTTTTCCCCTCCAGAGCACAGAATATAAATGTACAATGGTAAAAAAAAAAAAAAAAAAAAAAGTTTGTCCATGGACCCCCTTAAGCCACCTTCTGGGTGCTCGAGGGTCCCTGTATCAGATGAATGTAAATTGGGAGCCTTCACCTGAAGCCAGCCTCCTATGGAGAATGACTCCCACCTGCAGAAGCTCAGAACTCAGGGCAAGAGTCCCCACTATGGCCAACAGACCCCTCTGACCCTCTTCAGAATCTTCTGCATGTCTTTCCCATTTGGGAGCACTCGTCCCCCACCTTTAACGCCCTGTGTGAGTCCCACGTCCCCCAGGAAAAAGCCAGGCCTCTGTTTCCCAGCCTGCTTTGCAGCAAGGGGGGAGACACATACCCTCAGCTGAACCCAGAGCCCCCAGACCTCACATGCTCCCACCCAGTTTGAACAGCCAAGTCTCTGCCTGTGAAAAAGTTCTTCCTTCTACTGAATAGGATCTAAATGCTCCAGAACTCCACACCCACCTATCTCCACCCCCCTCTTAGCTTTTCCCCTGGGGTTCAGGAAGCTCCCTTTACCCTTGACCATGACTGGACTAGAGATGCCCACTTCTCTCCTGCTGGTTTTCCTCCTGCTACAACGTCAAGCATTCCCTCCCTCTTCTAGTCCCCCCCCCACCTCCCTGTTGTGCCTACTTTCTTCAGAAATGCTTCTGGAGTTTCCAAAGAGCAACCAATACCCCTTAAATAATGGAGACCTACCCAAGAGATTTGGGGTGCTGTGTGGTAAGAGCCACACTTTTTATCACAGAGTTGACCCTGATAGGTGGTTTTAAAGGTGGGGGGATGCCATTAAGGACAAAGGTAGAGCTGAAGGGGTGGGGGGTGTTGTAGGGGTGTTTTCAGTGACAGGAGATCTAGGGGGAACCAGAGTTGGGGTGCCGTGCTCCTGGGACCTGCTCTGGCTTGCGGGTTGGGGACGGAGGTGTTTGTGTGTTCCGCGGAGGTGTGAGGCGGCAGGGGTGTGATGTTGACATTGTCGTGGGAGCGTGTGGGGATGTGGCTGGCGGAAGACGAGAGCACACGGGCGGGGTGCGGTGCGGGGAGCAGCACCGCTCGGGAGGGCAGGGCCCGCAGGTGTGTGAAGAGGTCTCTGTGAATGACGGTGTTGCCCGTTGGCGCGAGAAATGCAATCCAGCCGAAGCTGGGGGGGCCGGCATGCCCAAGGTGGGATGCCGTCTTCCAGCTGTGACACTGTCTCTGAGTGAGAGAAAGGTGGATGGGTAGGATTTCCTCGGGGCGAAGCGCCGCGGGATGGTGCAACAGGCCTCCCATGACATTCTGGGTCGGAGGCACGGATAACAGTAGTAACGACAGGTATCGTGTATGGACGCTTTGCTGTGTCCTTCATATATACAATCTCATTTAACCCACACACCAGCCAGGCTTACATCTCGCAGCTCCCATTTTCCAGATGAGACTGAGGTCCCACACCAAGCCCATGGCAGTGAGGAGATGGATCCTGGAAGGGCTCACTCTCGGGGCTCTTAACCCTGGTGACATTGTCTGTATGGGAAGCAGGGAGGATGCTGGAAGCGAGACTTGGCGGCTGGAAGCTCTAGGCAGGGCGGGGGGGAGGGGTGGGGGGTGGGGGGGCGGTGGTCGGTGACTGGTGCGCATGTGCGTGTGTATGTGGGGAGGGAAGTTGCTGTTTCTGTTCATGCGGGGGTGACAGAGGTGGGAATACAGTCAGGAGTATGCCATGATAGGGGCACCTTAGGAGTTTCATCTGTACTCAAGGGCGGTGGGGGGGGGGGGGCATCGTTTGGTATTGATCCGCCCAGACTATAGTCGTTTGTCTCTCTGATGAGTGAGTTCCTAACCCGAGTTTCCATTCAACTTCTTCACCAGAGTCCTCCTGTCCTTAGGTGCCTTGTGTCCCTCCCAATGGCGTCTGGCAGTCATAGTGCCCAGACATCAGTTGAAACAGCCACGATCTCCTCTCTGAGCCCCCGAGAATGGGCAGGAGTGGTAGGCAGGCTGGCGCTGAGGGCAAGAGCTCGATCTGCCCGGTCCGCCACGGCTTGCTGTGACACCCCATAAGACTCCCTCGACCCTCTAGGCCTCGGTCTCCTCACCCAAAAATGGGGTTCACTATAGCGTCTACCCACATAATGGAGCCAGCCTCCCGGATTCAAATCCCAACTCTGCCTCTAATTAGCTGACAGACCTTGGGCAAGTTACTTAACCTCTCTGTGCCTCAGTTTGTCATCTGTTAAGAAGGGTAACATAAAAGAATTGGAAGGATGGGCGCCTGGGTGGCTCAGTTGGTTAAGCGACTGCCTTCGGCTCAGGTCATGATCCTGGAGTCCCTGGATCGAGTCCCGCATCGGGCTCCCTGCTCAGCAGGGAGTCTGCTTTGCCCTCTGACCCTATCCCCTCTCATGTGTTCTCTCTCATTCTCTCTCTCTCAAATAAATAAATAAAATTAAAAAAAAAAAAAGAATTTGAAGGATTACATGATTGGTCTGTGCCAAGCATTTTCCATAATACTTCCTGGTATACTGCAGGCCATAGATATTAGCCATTATTATAATTTATTATGGTTAATTATTACATCATAGAGTGTTGGAGAATTACATGAAATATTGCCTATAAAGCAGTGAGCAATAATATTGGTAGTGGTTATTACTATTATCCTTGGAGTTATTGTGATTTTCCCACCTGACAGATGGTGACTCTTGAGGCTCAAGAGAGGGGTGAGGTTGACCCAGCATCCCCCAGTCATGACAGTATTATTGCAAGGAGCCCTCCTCCGCAAATCCCAGTTTTGAGATGAAAGTCCTGGATCCTTGCCCAATGCTGCCTCCTGAGTGTTTCTGTAAACGGAGGACTGTCCCTTTGCAGCTCCAGGCCTCAGTTTCCCCACAGGTCACCAGGAGGGGAGGTGGAAGAGTCTGGAGGAGAGGGTCCCTAAGGGCTCATCCTAGTTTTCCCCGCTGCTGAGAGAGGCAGGATGCTCAGTAGCTGAACACATGAGCTCTGGAGCCAGACGGCCCAGGGTTGGATAGATCCCAGCTCCACCAACTTATGAGCTGTGTGACTTTGGGCAAGTGGTTTCATTTTGCTGAGCCTGTTTTCCTCATGTGAAAAAGCAGCTCAAATCATCTCCCCCAGAGGGCTGTATTAGGAAATTAACCCATAGCTCAGAGCCTGACTTCTAGTAGATGCCAAGTACTTGGGCCTGACCGTCCTCGGCAGCATCTCTATTGTTAGGTTGTGCTCAGAGCAATTAGATTTGGAGCACCTCAGCCCCTTTAAAAGAAGGATGAGACACCCCCCCCCCCAAGCAGGGGCAGGGCCGGGCTGCCAGGTCAGGCTCAGGGACCGCCTGGGTCCCCGCCTGGGTCCCCGACTCTCTCCAGGACTGGGAATGGCAGTGGAGCAGGAAGAAGGGAAGGAAGTTGGCTGGGACATATTCATATGTGTGCTGGGGGTGGGGGGAGCAGGAAGAAGGACAGGAAACTCCCTCCCACCCCTCCCCCAACTTCCCTTTCCTTCAATTTCTGCTGGACATACTCTCACAGGCAGCCAGGGGGTCCCTGATTCCTGTCCCACCTGGACAGGAGTTGGGGGGGCGGCGCTGGAATGAAGGAATGAGACTTGGCTTGTGTTCCATCGAGGGGAAGAGATGGGAGGTCCCCACCCCACCCACTACAGAGCCTGGTGGAATGGGGAGCATGCACTGTGCCCCAGGTCATCCCTCTCCCATCCGGAGGAAAAGGCCAGAGGAAGCAGATTTTGGCCAAGGTGACAGCAGGGAGGGGTTTGTCTGCTCTGGGGTCTCCCTCCATCCAGGGAGTTAATAGGCTGGGCTCTGAGACTGAGAATCCCTTCCTCTTTCCTGAGTCCCTGGCCAGAGAGACACCCACTAGAGTTTCTAGCTTGTCTTTTATTCTCTGGTACACATACCTCCTCAGGCCACACACACAGTGGGGGCCCTCCTGTCTTACACGAGCATACCTTCTGTGTTGTCAAACGCTCAGACATCTCACACGCACACACACACACACACGATCCCTTGTCTCTCACACACGCAGACTCACTCCCACATCTCTAGTGGTACATCCTCAACCATTTCACACACACCCCCTCCCCTTGTTACAGATATATATATACACACACACCCCTTCCCTTTTCCTACCCCTTGGGTGTCATATACACACATTCCCTGTTCCCTGTCACACAGGCACCCATCCTTCCCTCTCCCGGTTACACACCCTCGTGCAGCTCACCCACAGAGCCCTAAGCTCTCCCGTCATACACCCACCTTCCCTTGTTGCACACGCCCCCTCTGATGTCACTGTCGCACACCTCCATGTGTCACACCCAGCCACAGCCTCTTTGGAGTCACACCCACACCCTTTTCTTGTCACATACCCTCACCGGCCTCTCCTGGTCCCACCCCACCCCAGATACCCCTGTGTCACACACACTGACCTGCCTTCCTTGATCCACACAGCCTCTCCGGGCTCACACCCAGAGCTGGCCCATTCAGCTTCCCCCACACACCCCCTTGCCTGTCACACACACCCTCTCACTCATGTGTCACACTGCCACAGCCCCCTCTAGGGTGACAAGCACACACTTTCCCTTGCCACACGGACCCCTTTGAGGGTCTCAAACACACAGCCCAGCCCCTCATCTCATTCTGTCTCTTACACACACACACACACACACACACACACCTTTCCTCTCATATCCATGATCCCTAATGTCACACATCCAGGCCTTACAGTGCCAACACGCGCACATACACACAAACACACACACACCTCTCCCAGCCACACATTCTCCCACCTAGCTTTACACACCCACCCATTCCTCCATCTCACCCAACACACCCACCCAGCTTGTCCCCACGCACGGTCTCACCCATGGCCCACTCATGCCTCCCTCTGGGACAACCCTTGCTCAGGACATCCCCAGGGAGGGAGGCTGGGAAGCTCCAGGTCCACAGGCCTCCTCTTCTCCTTCCCCTCCCCCCCGCCAGGACACGCCAGCCCGGGAACACCCCTGGCCCGAAAGGGTCACATCACACACCCCTCAAGGACACAGAGACGCCCGCCCAGAGGGACCCACGCCCCCCATCCTTTGCGCCCCCCAAGGACACTTACCACCTCCCCCCCCCCATCCCCTCTCATCGCAGACAAAGCTCCCAGCCCCGGGCGGCGGCGAGAGGGGGAGGGGGTCCGGCCCCCTCCCCAACGCCCCTCTCAGCTCCCGGGTCTAGGGAGGGGCGCCCTTCCCCGCCCCGGAGCCCTTGCACCTGCCACGGCGGGGGGAGGAGGATGGAGAAAGGCGAGGCCCCCTGCCCGCTCCCCCTCCCCGAGCCGCAACCCTTTCTCACCTCCCGTGTTGCTGCGCTTGGTGCAGACCACCTCGGGGGGCGTTTCGAGGGGCCTCTTGCGGGAATCCGGGGCCTCGGGCTCCATGGGGGGGGCCTGGGGCGGCGGCTGCTGCTGCTGCGGCGGCTGCGGCGGCGGCGGCGGCGGCTGCTGTGGCGGCGGCGACGGCTGCTGGGGAGGCTGGGGTTGCGGCGGCGGCGGCGGCGGGGGCGGCGGCGGCTGCGGGGCCGCGGAGGCCGTGAAGAGGCCGTGCACCGCGCCGGCGGCCATCATCCTCATGGTCGGGGGGGGGCGGGGGACGGGGGTGGGGGAGGGGGAGGGAAGGGGATGTGGGAGGGGGAGGGGGCGGCGGCGGAGGGGTGGGGGAGGGGGAACCCTGGAGAGGGAAGGAGGGAGGGAGCTGGTTCTGGGGGGCTGACAGAGCCTGGAGAGCGGATGTGAGCAGGACGGGAGGGCCAGGGGGGTCCCCGACAGGGTCCGGAGAGAACTGAGGGGTGGGGTCTCTCTCAAGATTACCGAGGCCAGGGACTGGCCGCGCCACTGGGGGGGGGTCGGGACCTCCTTCTTTGCTCCCCCGGCTGGAGGGCCGAGCCCCCCAGACCCTGCTCGGGGCGGGGGGCCGGAGGAGCGGGGCCGGAGGTGGGAGGCGGAGGCAGCCGCTACTGGGGACCCCGGGGGCGGCGGTTGCGGGCGGTAGCGGCGGCAGGGCTGGCGGTGGCTGCTGGCCCGAGCATCTTCTTCCCGGAGGCTCCCACAGCGGCCTGGCCCCTCCCACCCGACCAAAGCCACGCCCATGCCGGGCAGGGCCGCGCCCTTTGGCGTCCCCATTGGTCCGTCCTTGAAGCCTGGGCCACGCCCCCTGAGTTGACCACGCCCGTTTCGGCGCTGGGAAAGGGACCAGGCTACCCCAGGCTACAGGGAGGACCCTGGGCTCATCCACACCTTCCCCACCCCTCGCCTGTAACGTACGTTTATTGAGCACTTACTGTGTGCCAAGTCCGGTTCTAAGCAAGCGCTTCACAAACCTTACCACGTTTAATTCCCAGAGCAACCGACTCTGGGGTACTCTTTTTATCCCCATTTTACAGAGAAGGAAACTGAGCCTCAGAGACTTGACGTCATTTAGTCGCGATAAAAATTCTCACTTCACATGTCTCCCACCTCTGACAGCTGAGAAATTCTCCGCTTGAATCTTTCATCCATCTTTTGAAGAATCAACGCAGGATTACTGCCAGGGCTCTGGGGATTGAGTTTAATGAATACCTGTGTTAAGCAGGTAGAGCTGAGCTTAACATCCTGTTGGCGCTCAGGTCAATCAACAGCACTTAGGAACCACCTACAAGTGTCAGACATTGTCCTAAACACTGGGGTACAACAGGGAACAAAACAGTCTTGGCCCTTGTAGACTAAGGTATTACTATTCATGTCATTAAGAAAACCTGATTTTCAGACAACAAAGCAGACACTCAGGAAAATGGAGTGTGGTTCACCCAAGGGCACACAGGTAGACAGACAGAGGGGAAACTGGGATTTGAACGAAGGACAAGCTTTATTTCAGAACCTGAAGTAGGGGGCCCTTCTTTGGAGTGGATCATTGCTAATATTCACTGTTCTCTGATATATGAATTTTCTTCTCCCTGAATTTCTTGTCTTCAAGGATTCTTCCTAGGTCAGCCAGATGCAAGATTAGGCTCAGAGGGGGCCTGGGTGGGGGTAATTGTGGCAGCTGGGGGGGTGGCCTTCCTCTGCTCTGTCCCACTCCTGCCCCACCCTTGTCATGCTCTCAGGTCCCCAGGTTGGGGAGGGTAGCAGATGGCCTGGGGAGGATGAAGTGGCCTCCCATCTGTCCCATCCCCCCCATTGTCCCCGGAGCCAAGGGGGATTCGAGGGGGTTGTGGTCCACTGCAGTCTGGATCCTCCCCCTCCATCTTCCTGGAGGGAGCTGAGGAGCTAGTTGCTATGGAGACAAGGAAGAGGCAAGAGAGATGCAGGGAGGCACTGGGGTCAGGGTGAGATCCACACCTTAGACCCTTTGATTCACATATACTCACACCACACAGGTACATATCCCAACATCCATGGAGTATGGCATGAATTTCCACATCCCCAGCACACGCACAGTCGCACCAGCCCTCCTGCAGACACACAGGTGTATACTCAACAGTTTCACACAGGCACACTCTGATGTATGAAGAAGATTCATGGGGATAGGTACACACACACACACACATACTCTCCCATAATGCATAATGCACATTCAGTCATGTGGACCATATATATCACAGGTTCTCATGCAAAAATAGATAGACACACATCTGATATCCAAGTATGTCCCAGGTGCACATGTTCAAAGCCAAAATAACTCCACACTTGGCCACACACAACCTGTGAAGTTACAAGTACATGATCAAAGCCATAAGACATAAACAACCTATGTTACATAAGGCATACATGTTAGTGACATGTGATATATAGACTGACAAACAGACCCAATCCTGTCTTCCACACAAACTGGATAATCACACACATTTATATACATGGCTCTCATAGTCTAATGCACAAAATGCACGAGACCTCACAGGCCACTCAGTGACATGCTCAACACACACCGAATCCCGAGTATTGGTCAGCCCCCACCCCCAAGTCATGCCTGCAGCCCCAGCTCACCCCCCCCCGAAACCCTCCCATTTGGACACACACGACAGCACGGTTGGTCACGCACTCACACTCACACACAAACACAAACCTCCTCCTAGATATTTTTAAACCCAGGCTAGTTCTGCTGCTATGGCAACCGCCCCAAACCCATTGCCATAGCAACCTAACGTCAGCTTTCCAAGCACCAAATCCTGGGGGATTGCAGGGCCCCAATCAGAGGCCAGAGGAGGGGGCTGCTGCACCCTCTGCCATCATCCGTGCCACCCCGGTACCTCCACCCCAGGGCCCCCAGGGGAGCAGTCACCTTATGGTGGGTAGGGAGGGGCTGGAGCCAAGGATGCAAGACCCTCCAGACCAGGCACCCCTCGACGTGCTTTTTCCTCCTGCTCCATCAGAGCTTTATGGAGGGACTCATGAGGCAAAGGTCAGCCTGCCCCTGGACACACACAAGCCAGGGTTTGAGTCTTGGCTCTGACATTTACATGCTGTGTGACTTGGGCATGTCCTTACCCTCTCTGAGTCTCATGTTCCTTAATTTGGAGAATGTTCCTGCTGTTGCTGTTGATACTAATACCCCAAGGGTTATTGTGACTCAGTGGCTAAAAGCCCAGCCCAGAATTGTATCCAAATTCTCACTCTCCCATTTTCTAACTGTGTGAACTCAGGCAAGGGCCTCTGAGTCTCTGCAACAATGTTGGGGGGCACATAGTAATCTAATTACATAGGGCTGTTGGGATGATTCCCAACAGAGGGGTGTGGCTGCTGAGCTAAGAATTTTGCATGTATTCCAACTGATTTAAGTTTTAAGCATGGCCTTATGGGTAAGTACTATTATTATTCCCATTTTGCAGGAAAAGAAACGGAGGCCCAGAGAGGCTGCCTGAGATCACCCAGTTTTGAAACATGAGATTTGAACCCAGGCAGTCAAAGACATGGCCTTAGCCATTTCTCTCTCCTGCCACTTAAAGAAGTTTGGAGAAGGGTGATGGAATGGTGGATTCCTGGAAATGCTTGCTAGCCTCAGTTTTCCAGCCCACAAAATGGGAGTTCAAATGGTACCACCAGCCGAGGTGTTGGAGGATCTATGAGGCACCTTGCACCTGGGGCGCTGAGGATGGGTTGGCACACCTGAGTGCTCCATGTAGACGGGGAGTAGATGAGGAGGGGCAGGGCAAGCTGGCAAGTGGGTAGTCTGAGGAGGGAGGTTGGCTCTTCTTCCCAGCTCTGTGACCTCAGGCATGGGCTTTCCCCAGTCTGAGCCTTATCTCATCATCTGTCAACTGGGAATCATAAGAGTGCTGAGGGTGTAGCAAGGAGTCCAAGAACCAAAGCAGGTGAAACCACTTGGCCTGGGTCCCAGCCAGTGAAGAGAAAAATCTGAGCTGATATTAATACTCTCCATCCCATCTGTGCATGGGATTTAGGAGTCAGGACTGTGGAGTGCAGGAGTTTGCAAACCGTTTTGACCGAAGGTAAGAGATACTATATCATCATTCAATGCATATAATATTAAACAAAAGTTTCATGAAATCATACTTCACCTACACTTCCGTCTATACTCTGTTTACACGATGTGCACAGACTCCCATCTATTCTTTTCTATTGAAAAATGTTGGTTGATTTCACAGTCCCCTAACCAGTTGTGACCAACAGTATGAAAAACCCCAGCATGGCGGTTTGGGGTGCAATCCTGGAGTCGTTGGAGAGTTTTACACAGGGGAGTGGCATGGGCATCAAAGGGGCAATGGAGGGGTTGCCAGCCTGGGGGCTAGGATGGAGCCAGACTCCGGGGAGGAGGAGCTCTTTGCCTGGACCCTAGCAGGGGCAGGAGAGATGGAGAGATGTGATCAGAAGCCAACACATGAAGAGTTAACACAGTGTTTTGAACACAATGTATGGTGGTTACGAGCATCAGCCTTGAAGACAGATCCTCACTCATCCATTTGACAAAAGTATTTATTGAGCATGTGTTACGTGTTGGGTACCGTTCTAGGCACTGGAGATATAGCAGTGAAGACAATAGACACAAATTCCTGACCTCATGAGCTCACATTCTGGGGAAATAGACAATCAACATGCAAAAGAAGTTAAAAAAAAATATATATAGTATGTTAGATGATAAAGACTGTGGAGAAAAACATATCAGGGAAGGGGGAAGAGGGGTTGGGGTACAAGGGGGTGAGAGTAGGGCTTTGGGTTTAAATATAATAGACAGGGGAGGCCTCACTGAGGAGGTGGCATTTGAGCAGAGACCTGAAGGAGGAGGTGAGGGAGTGGGCCATATGGGTCTCTGGGGGAAGAGGGGCCCAGGCAGAGAAAAGAGCAGGTGCAAAGGCCCTGAGGCAGGAGTGCACCTGGTGTGTTGGAGGAAGAAAGAGGAGCCCAGGGAAGCTAGAGCCAAGTGCGGGAGGGGAGAGTGGGAGGAATGAGGCCAGTTAGGCAGGGAGTAGACAGTGTGGGGCCTTGAGGGCCACTGTAAAGGCTTAGCTTTGATTTGGAGTGAGATGACAACCGTGGGAGAGGTTTGAGCAGAGGAGAGACGTAAGTTGACATAGACTTTATTACAGATCCTTCTGGTTGCGTATGAAAAACATGGTGTGTGGGGGGGTGGGGGGTAGAAGGAACCCAATGAGAAGGTGATTGTGACCATCCAGGTGAGAGGAGCTGGTGGCTGGCTGGACCAGGGTGATAGGTAGCCGTGCAGGTGGGGGGACATCACTGGAGTCCTGGTGCTCCTATGTGGCTTTGGGCAAATCATTTCAGCTCTTCAGAGCCTCAATTTCCCCATTTACAAATGGGGGCTGATAATAAAGCACCCACCTCTCAAGGCTCCTGTCTGGTCTCAGTGTGATAGAGCATGGACAGCCCTTGGCACAGAATGTGTGCTCGAGAAATACTGCCCGCTGTTGTCACTGATATTACGCCCCCCCTTCCCAGACCAGAGAAATTCTGTGTCCCGTCCAAGGGGGCTTTGGGAAGGAGGATTAAAAAGAAGCAGTTGGTCCTTGAATAATGATTGGGTATTTATCTGATCCTGAGAGTATTTGAGTCAGAGAATCTTGGACCCAAAATACTTGCCCCGAGGGGGCCTTTAGGG